CCCGGGGGAATTTGGCAGCCCTATTTCCCCCACAAAGTTCCCTTAACTACCCAGTTTCAGTGCACAGTTATTTAAATTCTTTTAGGGGGTCCAAGGTACACACTCTGGCTTCAGAAATTCCGGGAGAGTTGGATGAGGTGCCTGGGAATGACAGAGGTTGGCGAAGGGAGGGAGCTGAGTGGGGCTGTGATGTCGCTGTAGAATTTGTCGCCTAGTCTAGGTTGGGAAATTTCTGAACATTTGGGCGTGCCACCTGAGAAGGCGAGAGTTTGCGGAGGGGAGCTCACCAGCAGGCTATAATGCCATAGAATCCACCCTCCAAAGCAGCCATTTTCTCCAGGTGAACTGATCTCTGTAGTCTGGAATCAGTTTCAAATCTGGGAGATCTCCAAGCTCCACCGGGAAACTGCCAACTCTAACTGGTGCTTACAATGATTACTTTCACCCACCCCCCACCCCACTTAGGTTTCTGTCAGTTGACCAGAATGGCAAATTTTAAGGGACACGCTCTTCCTGGCTCTTTCTTCTTCCTCTTTGGCTTCTGGTGGTCTGTGAAATACTCGCTGAGATACCACAGCAGGAGACTGAACAAAAACGGGCATGGAAACAGTCGCTTCGGTCATCTGGATGTCATTGAAGGGGCTGTCAGAACCATTTGTGCAGTGATCGGTAAGGTTTCATTATTTATTTATTTAAAACTAGAAATAAGGCCCGTTGTGTAAATAAATACAATGGGATCTAGAAAGAGGCTCTGGGAGAGTGCTCTGGCTTTGGGCAAACAGTGTCAGTCTGCTTTTAAAACGTGAACCTGGGACCTGCACACCACCAGAATACAGCAGGTTCCATATGCAACTGACATTCCAACTGCCTTGCGGGGGGGGGAGTTTGAGGTGTGGAATGGAGTGAAGTCCAATCAGCTTCCATATGCAAAAGACCAGGTTGTCACAGCAGTTGTGGTGTGGGCGGGCCCCGGGCTTTGCCTTCTGATTGGTGGCGATATATGCTGAGGAGCAGTGCCATCAGCCATACACTAAGGGAGGGCATTTTAGAATTAGAACTTTGGCACCCACTATTCAATTATATATAAGGAGAGATATTTGTCTCCCACTCTTCTCCCTGGATTCTTAAACCCAAAGAGGCTTACAGGCTTTAAAACCAGAAGTGATCTGAAATGATGGCTGTTTGAAAAGCTGATTATAAATCTCATAGGTAACCATCTGCTGCCTCTGTTTGTGCACTTGCTCCTTTGAGTTTTGCTTCTTTGCGTTATATCCTGCACTATTCCATCGGCTCAGAGAGGCTTACTGTAGGTGTTCCCCCCCCCCCGCTCCAAAAAATGCATTTCTGTATTTTCAAGGGTTTACAGTCTAAATGATTTATACTAATTTGGGGATTAGAGCTCAATCCCAGGTGCGGTAGAGATGGTGTTTCTGGAGTTCTGCCCAGGAAGCAGGTAGATGTTCACTCCTAGATCCTGGAATGCCCTTCTTTATTCTTTGCTTCTGTCATTCAGGGATGCTGGCTGAACAGTTCGTTCCAGATGGTCCCCACTTGCATCTCTATGGTGGGCAAAATAGAGACTGGGTGAAGCTGATGAACTGGCAACACACGACCATGTACCTGTTCTTTGGCATCTCAGGGGTAGTGGATATATTCACATATTCTTCAGCCAAAGTGCCCATAGGATTGGACCGCCTGATGCTTTCTGTTGCACTCCTTGTTGAAGGTTGGTGCTACTATAGGCTAACAGATGTGGAATGTTGCTCAGTCAATGTAGCCCAGATGTTTCTGCCAGCTCATATATGATTAGAATGAATCACCTTGTCTGTCGGTTTTTCAGATAGTTTATTGTGGCAGATCCATGAAAAGTTATATAATTGTCTTTTGGCCATAGAGTAGCAACGAGATGCTGACAAGTTTCTCCGCTGATACATTCCCCCAGGTGGACCCACATGAAGCTATTTGTGATCCCCATTTGCCACATTTGCTCACGGAGCTCAGAGGTCTCCCATACAAAAACTAACTAGGGCCAACCCTGCTTAGCTTCCGAGATCTGACAAGATCAGGCTAAACTGGGCCATCCAGGTCAGGGCAAAGTATAAGCCAGATCCCTTAAAACAGCAGTCCAACTCACAGGTCAGGACCCAATTATATAAGGACCACAGCTGAAAAATCACGTTCCATACTATTCCACCTGTGGAGAAGAGCAAAAATGAAATGCCACAACTGAGAGCTACTGGTGGAACGAGCTCCCTGAGGACACCAGGGCCCTGCAGAACCGACTTCAATTCCGCAGGGCCTGCAAGACAGAGCTTTTCCACCAGGCGTGTGGCCAGACTTAACATCCTGATGGCTTGGAACCTCCCTGGGATTGTTTGCATCATCTAAGTCTGTCCTAACTGACTCCTGTTACGCAGGGGTCATTTCATGGAAAACGAGCTGGGGGAACTCATTAGCATAACTCATTAGCATATGCCACACCCCCTGCCATCACCGGAAGTGTGTCATAAGGCCACACCCCCTGACATCACCGGAAGTGTGTCATAAGGCCACACACACCCTGCCATCACCGGAAGTGTGTCATAAGGCCACACCCACCACTCAGTTAGTCTTAGTCTTAAAGGTTAGTCTTAAAGGTTAGTCTTAAAGGTGCTATTTGTTAGTCTTAAAGGTGCAGGAGTGCGAGGAAGCCCCACGAAGGCCCCCCGCCCCCAACGGTCCCGGCCGCCGCTGCTGCCGGCCTTGCAGCTCCACTGCCGAGCCCCAACAGGGGCCCAGCGGTGAACCTGCAAGGCCGGCAGGAGTGCGAGGAAGCCCCGCGAAGGCCCTCCCTGGCCCCAGGCAGGCAGGGGTGGGGAGAGGGGGGCTTCGTCATGTGCCCTGCCCCCCGCACCTTACCCGGGGGAACGGCGATCCCCCGCGATCCCCCCCGAATCGACCTCTGCTGTTACGAAAATATTGGATTATGACTGCCATCGCATAGGAATATATGTATGCATTGCACTTCAGCTCTTACTTGTTTTTAAACTGCTTTAACACTGTTATGTAAGGTACCCTGAGCCTGCTTCGGCGGGGAGGGCAGGGGATAAATCCAATAAATAAATAAATAAATAAATAAATAAAAATGCAGAATGTGGCGTACATTCCAACAGGCTTCCTCTTCTACTTCCACATCACGCAACGGCCACCGTTGGATCAACACATCCACGCTTTGCTGCTCATCGCCACCTTTGGTGGGGCCGCCGGCCTCCTGTTGGAGGTGTTCTTGCAAGATAACATCATCCTGGAACTCTTTCGCAGCAGCCTTGCCCTCTTGCAAGGAACCTGGTTTTTTCAGGTGGGCTACCTTCAGGATTTTCTTAAGACAGAGTTGCCAACTGGGAAAGCCCCGAGGGGTAGGATGACATTGTGAGTATTTCTTTTCTACCCAGATAGGTTTTGTGCTCTACCCTCCATGGGGAGGCCCAAGCTGGGATGTTGCCGATCACAGTAATGTGATGTTCATCACCATGTGCTTCTGCTGGCACTATGCCCTCGCGATCCTCATTGTGGCCGTGAACTACACTGTCATCTGCTGGTGAGTTTTGCGAACAAAACAGAACTTGATTCAGAAATCCTAAAGAATCAGACTGTCTGGGGTGTCGCTGACTGTAGTTTGGTAGAGGTGGCTGGCTATGATTGTGGGACATCATGGTTATGGATGCAGCAAACTTCTCAGCAAACCTGTTCTGCAGTCCAAATCAGGGAAATGTTCAGACTGAATCCAGCAACTTGAACAGCCGCTGAACGAGTCTACAGTTGCCTGTTGGTCAGACAGTAACTCACAGCTGATGGGGGGATCAGCTGAACCCACACATACACACACACACACCCAGCAAGATAGCTACATAGTGAAGTTACAGAAGGGAAAGAGCTAGTTTCTCTTCCCTCTGCTCCAAGCTGGGCAGGGTAAGGAATAATACTTTCGATCACTGCATTGCAAAAGGGAGAGGAGAAAGAGCTCCTTTCTCTTCCCCCCTTTCAAGCTGGACTGGGACAGAAGCAATACTTCTGAGCTCCCCATTGCAAAAAGGAGAGGAGAAAGAGTTTATTTCTTTCCTTTTCTGTGCCACCTAACCTGACAGGTTGGGGTGCATAGAGAAGGGAAATCTGCTGGGCTTATGATCACCCCAAACCCCACCCCAACTTACTAAATCTGCTGCATCTCAGCAAACATGGGAGGCAGCAACATACTGAGGATGAGAGATCAGGAGTACCCAATTTTGAGCTGATAATCCGGGATCTGAATTCTGATTCCACACACACCACAAATACTTTGCTGGGTACAGAGCAAATTTTCCCCAGCAGGAGATATGAAGCCAACTCCCAGCTGATCCCTCATCAGCTGGGAGCCGGCTTCTGATGGCTACAAGTAACTTATTCCTGCAAATATACATGAACAGGTTGCGGCAGCCTTGCAAATGGCTGAACAGCCCATTGATTAACTGGCTGCCTGATCACCACTGGCAAAAAGGAAGGGAACCAAACTGGCATGTGTTTGAGCATTCCTAGTCATGCTAATATAAGTTAATCAGTGTATCAGTGGATATGAGATTTTGCTGCCCTATGGGCTGGATGACATGGATCCATTCTGCTAACAACAGTGCCTGCCTCTGAAACGTCTGCTCTTTTGCCTTGCACTGGAGGGAAAGGCTGCCATTAGCAAAACAGGTCTGCATGGTCCGTTTCATTGTTCTAAGATGGCAGCTTTTTTCCAGTTGTGTCTTTTCATTTCATGCCATCTTTTAAGACAGATGAAAGGATGTTCCATTAATATTCTGCACAGTAATCCTGCCCAGTTTTGTGCAGAGAGGTATTTAAATCTTCTCCCTCAGTCTAGTGATAGTAACATTACTACTTATTTGAACAGCACTGGCATGTGGTTAGTAAGAACTGTGCTTGTCACTGTTCCTACATTTCAGTTTCACCCAAAAGCGCTGGAAAAATGGTGGAGAACCAGACGTCAAGCTTCGCTTCAGGAAGCAGCAGTGTGAAAAGGACTTTCAGACTGCCCTCTTAAATGGATCTGATGAAGAGTGAGCCGAGGTCATCCCCTTTGCTGATTTCTTCTGTTTCCAGAAGCATCAAACCTTCTTAAAACTCCAAAGAAATAAAACTCTAACAAGAAGAAACAAAAAGGGACCCCCAAAAGGTCTTCTGCTGTTCCAGAGGGATGAAGCCAGCACTTCCTTAAATTCTCTTAAATCTGCTTATCTTGAATTTTATATATTTTTTCTTTTAGAAAGGCAAATCAGGCAATGCAGATACTGTATAAATCAGGGGTGTCAAACATATGATCCGCAGGCTGGAACCAGCCCGTCCAGGGCTCTCATCTGGCTCGCAAACAATCCTTATTGCTAGATGACAGAGGCTGTGCCTTATGTCCCTGTATACCGTCCCAGTGCTAATGAGCAATGGGTGGTGGAAGTGGGAGGGTGGGCATCATGGAGATATTTTAAGGAAATACGTAAAAGTTTAACATTTTAAGCATATTTGTATTTTTAGTAAAATAATAGTTTCATCAATTGGGTTTGCCTGCGTCCTTTATAAAGATTGTATCTTTCATACCTGGTGTTACACTTTATGGAGAAAAGCATTGTCTCCTGGTAGGCTGGCAATGAGCGGGGCTCCACTGTGTGCTTTAACCATTTTTTCCCTCTGAACCGAGAACAGGCAAGAGGGGGGGAGGAGATCAGCCGACCTCCATACAAATGCTAATAGAGCTAGCAGTAGAGGTGGGGCAAGCTCTCCCCATTCTCCAAGCAGGGAACAGAGGTTTGGAGGACTTCTTACTATAGAGGTTTTCAGGAAGGGGGCTTTCTGAAGCCTTCAGGGAATGCTTCTTTGACCTGGCGTGACCTAGTGTATGGCGTTAGACCCAGCTGAGTTTTCTCCCCTCTTCAGACTCCAGGATCCACTCCTAAATCTCCAGGAATTTCCTAACCCAGAGATGACAACTCTATATGTGCTATGATTCAAACATGAGTGCCCTTTTAACATGTTGTTTGGCCCTTAAGAAGAAGATCCTTCAATGATGAGCTATTGCTACCAATGGGGAGAGGAGAGGAGGAAGCAGTATTGGTTGGGTTTGCCACTTAAGGGGCTATAGAAGTGCTTGGGCACAACAGCTCAAAAGTGTTCACCCTCACTATTCCTCTGGGTCCAGTCAGGAGGGCCTGGTCTGTTTGCAGAAGGCTGCAGTAAACATGAGATCCTTGTATGCACTCAGTGACGTCTTTAGGCATAACCTTTCATACCTTGCTATGATGTCACCATTGTTCAGCTAGAAGATTCCAATAGCATAGCGCCAGCGCCAGAAACACTCAGGGTAGTTGCAAGTGGAAGAAGAATTTAGGTTAAAATTCTCTCCACCCCCTCTCTTAAAGTGGTTGTACCTATTAAAAATAGCCACGTCCTGTTTTCAAACTAAAGTCATTGTTTTAAATAATTATGATTATCTGCACTGATGTAACAAGATATTGTATGGGGTTCCTGGCTCATTTCTGTTGCCGTACAAAAACTGTATCAGATCAAACCTGGCCGCCTTGATTGTCGTGACCTCTGTTTTCCTAGGGTTTGCCTTGTCGTAACCAGCTGCACGTCCACAGATTTGAATCTGTATTCATTAATCATTTTCTTTTAGCAGGTAAATTCACCAGCAGAAATGCACTTTGTACCTATGTTGGAGGTGGGGAGCAAACATACGGAAATCCATGCATACTATTACAGCTGCTACTTGGAAGATAATGATGCTCTGTCCATCCTCTGAAATGCTATGAAGATTAATTAATGATTTCAAACTAATTAGGACAACTAATTGACAACTAATTCAAACTAATTAGGACAACCTGATGGATAGTGTCTCTTTCAAACTTGAACTAAGGCTTGGCTTCTTCCAAAAGCAATAAGCATTCCCCACCGTAGGGTGGTTGCTGGTTTCCACTAATTAGAGTTGCCAGTTCTTTTCAAGCTGTTTCAGGAGCCAAATTTCACTTTGGAAGGAACATGCTTCACATTGCAAAATGACAGAGTTTTCATCAGTCATCCCAGGAGTTCAGACTGTAATAGTGTCATCAAGAGAATACATTTGTGAAAACTATGGTTGCCAACGCTTGTGTTGAGAAATACCTGGAGAGTTGGGGGTGGAGCCTGGGGAAGGTGGGGGTTTGGGAAAAGATCACAGCAGGGTAGAGCCCCATAGAGTCTACCCTCCAAAGCAGACATTTTCTCTGTGGGGACTGGTATTACAACTGGAGATCAGTTGTGATTCTAGGAGATCTCCAGGCCCCAACTGGGGGCTGGCTAACTTACCACCAGTTCCTGTCTTCCATGATCCCACCCCCCCACCCACCCCCCCAACCTACAGCTCCTTACATAGCATTGTACTCTTTTTGGAGGGTTCCCCAGATCAACATTATGAGGAGTGGTGGGAAGGAGACTGGTACTGTTATGCTTTCGTAACACCATTTGTAGTAATTTGGTTCTGAGCCAATGTTAACATGAAGCCACATCTGGCAGCAACATGGAATAAATAGGTTAATGCGTCTATTATCTTAGAATATGTTATTATTATAGTTGTGTGTGTGTGTGTGTTAGTCTGGTAAAACGGGCCCTGCAGGCATCTCTTTCCACCATGTGCAATTTACTTGGTTAGCCCAGGTCTCAAGCCAGTAGACTTGAATGAGGAGTTCCCCTCTCCAGCTATATCCACTCTCCACAGACATCTGGAGTTTCTTCTCACTACCACCAGGAGGCCTGTAGTTAGAGGTGTACTGTCTGGGGACCCGTAATCTGACCCTATCCCCAGTCTCTTAAGACTTTCTTTCCAATTCAGAAATACCATCCATGGAAATCAACAGAGCCTCCTACTATCTCACAATCGCATCAAAAACTACGGAAATTATACATCATGGCGAAGCTCACAGACAACCTGGACACTATGACTAAGCCTTCTAAACACTCCTACTTTTCCTCTATATGGTTTCCCATACTTGAATATTTGATGTCTCAAAATGAAATTCCTCAATTAGTGGTTGACCTTGGATCGTGATGAACTTTATTGCTTAACTATTGTATAATCAGCTATTCTTTACTAACAGTTCAGTTATACGGGCTATTGTTACTTTATCCAATGAACTGGTTTTTGTATTATGTCTATGTTCTGATCTACAGACTGTATTTGTCTTGCTCAAATTTACTGTGCTCTATATGTATTGTTATTTGTTATTTGTTAATTCTAATAAACTGTTAATTATTTTTTTTAAAGAAAAGAAATACCATCCAGTTCTAGCTAAACAGGCATTTCCCTGACTCCTCATTGTTATCTTGGTAAGCATGAGCAAAATTAGGCTTTGGGTGGGTGCAGATAGCACCAATGTCGGGGGGGGGGAATCCATTACCAAAAAAAATATATGACTGGGAACAGAGGAGGGTGGAGTTTCAGGAGGATGTGACATCACTTCTGGGTGATGCTGCAGGGATTTCCCCTAATCTCTCTAGTAAATAACACAAAGACTAGAGGAAATTCCTGGAGTGTCACCAC